CCCCAAAACCCCAAAACCCCAAAACCCCGCTGTAATGAAATTCCTGCTATAAAGGGAAATACTTATTTATGAAATTAAGTTTTAAATATTAATTATTTGCCTATTTGAGTTTTTGAAGGACTATCTCATAAGATCATGTTGTTATAGTTTGCTCCCTAATTCTGATAGTTATTTCCTCCAGCTGCTGACTAAGCTTTGCTATGATTACTTTTCCTGAGATTAATAACTGTATTGAATCCGCTCTTAGTATTGAAATAGGAAGAATTTCCCTTGTTACTAGCCTCTCTTATTTATCTTTCCAAGATATCAGGGTTTAACAACTGCATTCCTTAGGTCTATGTCATGGCTATTGAAGAAGCGAGACCATTAGTTACTCCTGAGCCTCCACCAATGACTCTCCCATGTTACACCTATTTCTTTCTAAGAATTTTTTAATCTTTTTGAATTCCAACTTTGAGCTTTCCAGAAACTCCAATCATTCCCATACCAATACCAGTCTCTCTGAATTCCTTTTACCCCTCAGCCCCAAAAGGTATAATATTTTGCATCTTTCTAGCCATAGTCATTTGGTACTTGAGTCTCATATTTCTAAACTTTTTACCTCCTCTTTTTCTTCTCGGTCTATCATCTGGTTTAGGTAACGCCTTTCTTAATTTTGGTTATTGAGGAGCAACAATCTTACCAAATCTGACAATAATTCCCTCTCTCAACTTTTGACCTTCATTTCCAGAAGGACAAGAGCCAGCAGCATCGATTCTTGCTGCAAGAGCTGTTTTATTTGACAGCATTCTTATTACTTGCATTTAGAATTTCTAAGGGGCGGTGACATACATATCTACTTCGGTTAATACTCCTCTATGTAATGAGGCAGAGGCTGTTGACATGCCATTCAAGGCTTTCTTTTAGGAGCCTAATACTTAAATGTTGCAAGCAGGAATTTTAGATAGCTCAACAACACCTCCAGCTGCAGCAATGAGTTTGGCAGCTACTCTAGTCCCAATGATTGCAGAGGTATTTGGAGCCACTGCACTCATTCTGTTTTCAAGATAGTGAAGCATCTTTGATTTTTATTCATTTAGCAGTATCACCTCATCACATAACCTAATGACTTCTTAGTATTCCTTTTCATTCAACTATTTCCCACTTGATGCTGAAAACGCCACAGTTGCGCTCATCAGTGTCTAGTTAGGTAGCCATGATAACTCCTCAACCACCTTTGTAATATCTTGAATGTTTCCGATAATTTTGACTGCCCTAGCATAGTCAATAGGGTTAATAATGATAGATTCCAGTTCAAGAAACTTGTTTTCGTAGGCATCTCTCAGAGATTTATGCACAATCAGAATATCATTGTCAATATGCTTTAAGAAGTCATTTGTTGTTATGATAAGTTTGTGTATCTGATCTTTTTTGGGCAAGTTCACAAATTTTTAGATTGGCTAGTCATTTAAGTCTTTATCTAGGTTCTCAAGATGCTCCAGGAATTACAAGTTCCCCCTAATCTTAGACTAATAGTTTTTCTAGATAAGTTTCTCTAATTTCTGCTCCCTTTCCTCATACTCAGCATAATCCTTATCCTCCCCTTCTGAAGCCATCTCCTCGTCATTTTCAACCTTTTCCTCCTCTTCATCATCACTTAAATCTTCTAAGTCCTTTAGAAATTTATCTGCTAGTCTAGTTCCCATTTTTAAGTTTGGTTAAACAGTAATTATTTGATTATTTCTTTTAATATATAATTATTTGACTATATTTTAATCTCATTGTCCCAATGGGGTTTTGGGGTTTTGGGGTTTTGGGG